GCAATGAAGTATTACTAAATAATCAAGGGAATTGCATGTGAACTCAAAATAAAGGGAAAACATTACGCCCAAATTAGAAGGTCTATAGTATACGGTCCTTTTAGATCTAGATYKTTCGATTAGTGTATCAAKACAGTAGGGCGGAGCTGAGTTGCCATCGCGATGATAGGCTTTAACCTCAAACAAAAGCTTGCGARCTGCCAACTCGCCAACCCACACAAAACACTCTCCGCGCTAAGTGTATTCTTTAAAACTAATCGAGAAGTAGGTAAATAATTGTTAATAGATACTGGGTAGCTTCTTCTTCTCTTAATAAAAGATATTTCTGTGTTCACATATAGTTTCTATTTTATTARGATTAAAACTAGTTTCATTCAAGTACGGTTTTGAGGGCCCGGATTGGACGTCGGTTGACAGGATCTTAATTCGATCGCAAAAAAAAAAGTCGAATTTTTAGCTTTTGAATGAGTATGGATAATCTTAGTATATAGAAAAAACATACCCGACCTATGATACTTGATTTATGCTGCTAAATTTTGAATTTTGAGTGATTTTTATATTTGGAAAATCCGGAASCGTGCATAGATGGAATGGATTGGACGTCGGTTAGCTGGATCGTACGGATCGCAAAAACTTTTTTACGCCAAATTTGAARCTTTTATCCTGTAATTTTTATTTTAGCATACATAACTAGTAATCTTATGCTGAAATTTTGCAAAAATCAAATATTATTTTTTTACCATAATTGAGAGGCATTATATTAGATCTTGGATCGCAAAATATTTCACTTCTCTTGTCTGACCACCAACATTCAAACACTTTAGAAATTCTGAAACGTTCATGTGATATCGAGTTCTGGATTTAATGTGGCGAAGACATCATTTTTTCCAGAGGATTTTACGATTTCAACTCCAGTCACTCGTGCCTGGCGTGTTCAAAACTATCATTGGGATCCCTGTGTCTTTTTACTTACGTAACAGCAGCAGTCACAGCAGATAAACATGGCCGAGTTTTCAATCATCCGGACTATAATTTCTCTTCGCTATATAATCACTGTTGAACCAGTATTGCTCTGTTACCTGGCATCTTTAGCTCTACAAAAGCCCTTGCTACAACAGTTCCTATACGACTATGYCAGCAATAGCTATAATTTTACCAAGGCTTTGAGTAATGAATTGTGTGACCCGAATAACACGGCCTCAGCTAGAAATGTAAGTTTATCAACTCTTGGTCTGACCGAAACGAATTCGGATTTGACGAATTTGGAGAACAAAGTTCAAGCAAGGACGTCGTATATTCTGCTTCTCTTGAGTATRACAAGTAAGTATATGTGAAAACATCAAATTGCTTAGATAAAATTCGCTAAATTAATATTACTTCAATTACAAATTAAAGATCACCTGATTCACTTATGACATGCCAATAAACAATTAAATGAAATTTATGTACTAAAATGTAGTTTTATTTTATTACTTCTATTGCTGATTTGTTCTTGAAATTTTCTACTTTGGTATCGTTTTCTTTATACGAAGAGAAATCTCTTACTGTAAATTGCTAGATATAAAAAATATATAATATTCAGCTGACGCGTGCCGAGATGTTGAATATCATTAAACATCAATAGTTGTCGCGAAATAATTGATTTATTTATTTAATTTTTTGGTTATTTATTTGTGATATTAATGATTAATGAATTAATTAGYTGAGGTCTAATTTTCAGTACTGAAGTGGAAATTCTATTGAAGTCGAGATAACTCGAATCAATAATTCAAAAAATAGGCTTTTTTAATCGTAAGTGCAACACTGAATTTCCAACATTTGACGTTTAAAGTCGAGATAACCCGAATCAATAATTCAAAAACTAGGCTTTTTTGATCGTAAGTGCAACAATTTCCAACATTTGACTTTTAAAGTCGAGATAACTCGAATCAATAATTNTCAAAAACTAGGCTTTTTTGATCGTAAGTGCAACAATTTCCAACATTTGACTTTTAAAGTCGAGATAACTCGAATCAATAATTCAAAAACTAGGCCGTATCGTAAGTGCAACAATTTCCAACATTTGAAGTTTATCTAAAAGGGTTCCCAAAGGTAGCCCGAGGTCCTAGTTTCTCGCATACTGGAAGGTGGATTTTTGTATTTCAAATATATGCTGAATTTGAAAATATATATATTCTCGTATCCTAGATACAATTCCGTCAGTGTTGGTGTCGGTGATGTATGGAGCCTGGACGGACAGGGTTGGAAGAAGACCTCTTTTGATCCTTTCGTTGGCAGGATTCGTCATTCAAAACTTGTCAGTGGTTTGTGTTTCTAATTACGGTAAGGAGCACTATGGATATTATTAGATAAAGAGACATACGACATTGCTACAGGGCTCCCTGTGGTCTGATCAGTCGCAAAAAAGGTGTATTAAGTTTTATTTCAAATTGTCAAGAAATTACAAATAAATTAAATTTGAATTTTTAACTGTCACAAATGTCACGCAACATAGACATTCCGTACTTGTTGTTTATTGGTTCAAACTACAGGTGTAATTGTTGCTATGGTAACGACTATCACGTTATATCCTTTTTTTTTTTTTTTTGTTACAGCCCTTCCATACTATTTGCTGTTCATTGGGTCAGCGATATCTGGACTCTCTGGATCGTTCTCGTGTATCTTGCTCTGCGGATTTGCGTACATTTCTGATATCACAGATTCCAAGAATCGTGCATTCCGTATTGGTGTTCTTGAGGCTATGATCTATGTTGGGAGCACTGTGTCTTTTTTTGTGAGTGGAGTCTGGGTACAACATTCTGGAGGTATGTATTCACCAAACCACCTTTTCATTCATTCATAAGTCTACGCACCCATTCTTCCATCCGTTTATTCATCCATCCATTAACCCATCCACTCATTCACTTGCCGATCTCCCATTCATCCATTCATCCATCCATCCACTGATCCATCCAGTTGTTTACCCATCAATTCATTACGATAATTTTAGTCTTTTCTTGTTTCAGGGTACAAGCAGCCATTTTGGGGAGCCTTTGCTATGGCACTTTTCGCCCTTCTTTACACAATCATCGTCCTCCCAGAGTCAAAATGCTCAAACGACACCCAACAAGCTACCCGATTGAACCCATTCAAATGTTCAAGCATCACAAACATGGCAAACATGTTAAGACAAAAACCAATATTAGGTGTGGGTCTGCTAGCCTTCTTATTAATAGTGTTTGGAGCGTTCAACGATATTATAATCATCTACCTCAAAGCCCATCCCATATGCTGGAATGCTCTCCTCGTAGGGGTATGGTACGGACTCCAGACCGCAACCAAGGCCATTGGACTGGTAGTGGGAACAAAAATCTTTCAGAGGTTTTGCTCGGATTCAGTCATGATCCTAATTGGGATAATAAGTTGGATTTTAAACAGCATCATGGTTGCTGTTACGACATCTACTTTAGTATTATTTCTGTCTTTAGTTCCTGGAGTGTTTCAAGCCATGTCTACTGCAGGCACCCGCACAGTGCTTTCCAAGTTGACACCGAGGGACAAACAAGGAATGATTTTTTCAGCGGTCGGGATGATCGAAGCCTTGGCGAGTTTCTTAGCTCCTCTAGTGTATAATACCGTATACCCGGCATCCCGGAATGTACTGCAYTTTCCACCTTTTTGTTTTTATATGACGGCTGGGATTTTAGCCTTGGCTGTTCCACTGGTCTTGTTGGTGTATTTCAAAGGAGTGCTTCCAATGAAATATCAATCATTTGTTGATTYTGATGTGCCTTCTGTTGTTGAAGATAAGGACGAAGATAACAACAAAGAACAATGCATCGGCAAAGAAGAAGATTAATATCAAAGCTGTCAACGACTGAACTATTTTTTTATTAACACGTACAAGCCGTTTTTCTTACGTATTCTATGCGCAAATTAATAAAAATTAATTTCAGTGAAGCAAAATTAACTTGCATCATCAATCATTGTTTATCCCAGTGCAGAGCTTACATTCATGTTGGTCTGCGGTAAACCTTCAAAATATCTGCGCCAATTCTATTCTAGTCACATTAATACGCTCGTTTCTAAAGTGATACAAAATGTAAATCCAAATTATCTTCTAAATCACTCCTACCGCTGTCACCATTTTTGCCAAGCTTTATCGTTTGACAAGACTTTTCATTAAAAATCCTATATTTCCACACGATGTTTGGATTTTTTCAGTGATTGTGGTTTTCTTTGGGGCTACATTTTCGTAGCGTTTCAGTTCTTCCATTCTTTCCCTGAAAAACRAAAATATACTTCTGTAAAAGAAAGCATTGATATTGATCTTATATCGAACCAAAGTATAAAATGTATCACATAAGGCAACACGCACACCAAAGCCGCATTCGTACTTTAATCCGGATTAATTAATTTAAAAGCGCAATTCTTTGCGTTTTTGCCTTGCGTCGTTTTCTGTCACTAACAAGGATACTTTTTGTTTCAAAATGCAGCACGCCGGCAAGAAGTTTCGGTGGACGGCCAGGAAAACGAAACTTTTTGGAAACGCAAGCAATCTGCGCATGCTTGGCAGTGTAATTTGGCTGTTCTGGGATGATGATGGTGATGATGATGGCCAGTGATRATGATGATGATGATGATAATGATGGTGATGATGGCCAGTGRTGATGGTAATGATGATGATAGTGGTGATGATTCGTAGTGATGATGATGGTGATGACCGAATTCAACTGAAATGGCGTTCTGTATAACGTTCCAAGCGTTTAAGTGTGGACGAAAAACTTTACGCGTTTTCGGTGCGCTACGCAGGCTTGTCCTAAAACGGCGTTTTCAAATTTATCCGGACTTACTGTGGACATGACCCAGATACGCCCTGTCATTTCTCTTAGCTTTACCTCATGATCTCGTAAGCTATTTCGTCAACATCAACATCATCATCACTGTCAGATACGTCATCAGCTAACACAGATTGAATCCCTGAACGAAAAGAAACAAATAATGTGTAACAAGTATGTTGAATATGCATGGTTGACGGAAGTAAAAAGAAAACCCCCTTCCATATATCTGACTAAACTTTATCGATACCTTTACACARCCTCTGGGTTGATTGAAGTCAGAGCACGGTAACTCACAGATCKATTTGAATTTAGCTTGTTAGGTTTTGCTAGCGTTAAAAAAAATTAAGGAGAAAACCATCAAATCAAGAGAGRGACCCAATAACATAAACTCTACTCGCGTGTCCAGAAATCCAACCCRAAACCCCAGGGGGGGAGAGGTGAGTGCACTACCGCTACGCCGTGAACCCTTGAACACGATTTCCCTTTTTTTCGTGCGAGRGAGATACAGTACACGACTTTATGTGAACATTATTTTCGACATTCAAAGTTGTTCTGCTTTGTTAAGATCAATTATAMTAACTTTGTTATAAATCATAAATAGATAAATATTCATGATTATATCAGACAGAGAAGAAAACAARATTTGCCTCTCCAACGTGCTCAAAAAGCTAAAAACTCTACTGATCTGGAAAGCATAAAACTTGTAGCCAAACAAAAGCAAGAGAAATTTTAAAAACAGCTCGCTCAGAGTRTAGTATCAATCCGATCGAGTTCAATATTTACTTACTAAGTTTGTCTCGAAGGCCCTCAAGTAGATCTTCATATCGTTCAATACTCAAAGCCAGTTGTCCACTTGCTCTATATAAACCACCCAAGCACGAACAGGCCTTACATATCCCATCCAAATCCTTCATCTCACGGGATATTTCGAGCCGTTCCTCATGGCATTCCACTGCAGCGCCCAGCTCAGATCTCAGTTCGTAAACATTCGCCAAATTATTCAAGTTTCTGGAGATCGACTTCCTATCTCCACGATCTCGTGCCAACATCAAAGACTTCTCAAAGCACTCCAACGCCTGGGCTAAATCCCCAGTTCTACTATACAGACAGCCTAGATTCGTGTAAGCTGTCCCTTGCGTTTTTCTATCCCCAAGATCGTGTGCTAATGATAACTGTTTCTCGTAGTTATTCTTCGATGATTTATAGTATCCAATTTTAAAGTATGCAACACCAATGTATCCAAATATGACAGCTTTGTCGTGTTCGACATCTTCTTCGTCTTCCAGTTCTTTGAGGATGTTTTTTAGCCGGTTAATTGTGGCCAAAATATCCGCCATGGTTTGTTCTAGGTATCTAAACTGATTCGGATCGTTTTCTTTGTATGGGAAAATATTTTTCATCATTTTGATCATGAAAGAATGGCAAGTTTTAATGCTCTAGTAATTTATAATTTTAATTTTTATAACAGGTACTTGTTGTTGAGTAAACTAGATTATGAATAACATTAAGTATAACGTTATGTTTTTATTCGAGTTTCCTGTGGATACCCGAGCTATAAAATCTTGGAAGTGATCAAAAAAGTGACAAGTCCTATGACGCGCTGGTAGTTATTTACAATTTCAACAGGTACTTTTCTTATTTAACTAAATTATGAATAAAGTTTAAAGTTATAACTTTACTCGGGCTTCCTATGGATACTCAAGATAAAAATAAAGAAATTTCGTGTTTTCGTTACGTTCGTCCTGTGATCCCTAAGGCGCATGCGCTATGTGCCACTGAACTAAAAGCAAAGGCTAGAAACTCCGAATAGTTTCCGGTCCGAATGAGGCGAATTAACTATTCGTGAGAAGATCGTGAGAGAAATATTGCTTGCCTGGTATTGTCTCATATTCCTCAAAGATGAGAAAGAGAAAGCCCGAGCAAGCGCAGCAATACGTTTGTTAAAAAAAACGAATTGTTATCAAATAGTGTTACGTTACTAGCGAATGAATATTTATTATATATGTGCGCAATTTCATATATCACTTTTTCTCCTTGGCTTCTTTCTTTTTCTTTTCTTTCTTGTCTTTCTTTTCTTTTTTCTTTTCGTCCTTTTTTCCCGCGTCTTCTTCCTTCTTTTTGGCGTCTGTCTTTTTGAATGGATTGTGTAGTTTCAATAATCCCTTTCCTTTTTTCTCGCCTGCCTTTCGTCGTTCTTCTTCTTTTAGTTTTTCTTGAGCATCTCTGCAAGGCAAACATTTTTWATTATTAAACAAATGAATTTGAGACAGGTCCGSCCGTKCGTCCGTCCGTGCGTCCGTCCGTGCGTCCGTCCATCTTCCATCCGTTCGCTTGTTCGTTCGTCTGTTCATCTTCCAGTGAATGTAAGTAATTTCCAAGTGTTTGTATCGTTAAAGTTGCGCATTTACTTTACCGTTGGTATTTGTAAATATTCTGACACTGAGATGAGGCTAACCCAGAGTAAATGAATTTGTAATCAAGAGACACAGCGGTAATTTGTGACTTGAAAAAGGTCTTTTTTTTTAAAAAAAAAAAGGTTCATTTTAACTTGATAAATAATTTTTCAAGGATTTGATGCATGACTTGGACTAAGAAAAGCTAAAAAACCGACCTAATATACTAATGACCCTAAAGACAGGCCATATGTTTGCTCTTCACGGATATTATTTTCGCATTACGTTTTAATAAAGTACATCAGTCCATTATTGGCTAACGCTATAAATATTTGATTACAATATCTTTCTAGCACTGGATAGTGTGGTCATATATCCTCTCGTGGGGTTTGGGTATATATGAGCCTTAAAATACYTTTTTGTATTGCTCTAGTATGTGTGGCGGACGCGGAAAGAAAGTAATTACAAAAACTAAGTACAAAAATAACTTTTCATGCCAAATTACCTGTGTTGATTGTTATTGACAGTTTAAATAATATATGATATTCTGCGGTGACCCAAAACGAAATAAATATTAAATACGAAGATTGAAAACAAGAGAAACGGACGGACGGACGGATGGATGGATGGATGGATGGATGGACGGATGGATGGATGGACGGATGAATGGATGGACGGATGGATGGGATGAGAGTGAATTGGAAGTATCAATGCATGTAAAGGATAGAGTCATGAAAGAACGGACGAACGAATGAATAAATAAACGGAATGAGGATATAAGGATAGATAAGTAGTTGAAAGAGAACAAGTGAGTCTTATTGACAGAAAGAAAGATAAAGAAAGAAAACGATGACACCTCTTTCGTTCTGTTTCACGTATTCCAGTCGTTCTACTTACGCTAGTGCTTGCATGGTGACCATATCAAGGTCAATAGCATCATCACCTTCAGAGTCAGAATCTTCTGCTAAAGTATCTTGAACCCCTGGAGGAAAAAAAACAACAACAACAACTATTAAGAAAATCATCACATTCACATAAGAAAACATTAACAAAAGAATCATTATTGTCTCATTTTMGGAATRTCYACGAGAAATGAAAAYTGATTAAAYATAATGTTGGATTAAAATTAATGCTATGTTTTGTTAGAATACACYGTTTTCTCAAGRKTGCKTGCGCATCCAACATGACGGGCCACAAAACCCAAAAACGCAAATTCCGTAAATTTGATAAGCCAGTTTTATATYTAAAAATAAGAATAATCGATATGATAATTTTTTTATTGAAAAATCTAATAGAAATATATGATAATTCTCATTATAAAGCTCCTGTACTAGTATCGTGTGGCCCGTCAAGTTGGCTGCGCACGCAACCTTGAGAAACGGTCTATTAGATAAAATGTAGTTGGTAATATATTTTTATCATTTATATAAATAGATAAATATTTCAGATTTTATGAATTGTAACTGAAAAGCCCATATTGGGAGTTGCAAATAAAGAATGCATGTATGTATTGACGGCCGTAATCATTTATTCACTCATTTATTCAATAATACATTTATTTATTTATTCATTCATTCATCCGTCCGTTCGTTCTTTAATTTATCCATTAATTTCTTTCCTTCTTTCTTCAATTCCGCTTGTTCTTTCTTTCGTTTTCATCTGCGGCTTTATTGGTTTATTCGTGCATCCATTCCTATTTCTCCTTTTTTAAATTTTATCTTATTTTATCTAATTTATTAAAAACCAATTATCGACAACGAAAAATAAATCAATTTTATACCATAGTTTAAGCATAAATTAACTAAAGATCTTAAGCAGGTAGTAACATGACAATATCAACTRAATATTAGTATCTTTAGCCGTCCGTATCTCCTGTCAAACACTTATACTCTATAAATACAAGAGACAGTCTATATATAGCACCACGAGACAGTCCACACACGTAACATCAAAAGGAAAATATAACTARCCAATGTTCTATCCTGTCGCTACCATTTCTACTAATATGGAGTAGCTTTAGTAAGATAGTAAAATGGTTCCGCACACGGCAACATCACGATACAGTATTGACGACCTTCCTTGACCCAATCACAGCGCGCGCAATCACTAACTGCTTATCCAATCAAAATGATCGGGCACAGCACGATCACGTGCACATCACGGCTCGTCCTTCACGTGAAATATTGCACAGCCATACGGGGGGAAAAATGGGACGGAGAAAACTGCTAGGAAAAAATTAWTTCCGAGCAACGGAAAAAAGGCAAGGTGGCGCGATGTTGTCCCGCTCTGGCGCATGCGTAATAGTTGAAAACATGTAAACTTGTTCTCGTTGTCGTTCTCCAATCTGAAGCTCAGTATTGCTGCTTCTGCGCAAGCGCTAGCGCTTATATCGTTATACTACCTTTACTACCTACTACTACCAATACTACCACTACTACTACTACTACTGCAACTATTACTGCTTCCCTACTAGTAAGTAGTAACTACATTTTTTGCTGTTTTTGCTTTTGTTGCTGCTCGTGTTGCTGCTGCTACGGCTGCAYTTTGCTACTATACGATACGATAATTATACATAAATCACCCTAAACCCAAGAGTGAATAATATCCAAAAGTCAAAATCTATTGATTGAAAAACAAATAAAAAAACAAACAGCAACAATGAAAAATAATCAGGGTTTGCCTGTTTAACAAATGGGATCCGCTTTCTTAAATAAARAAAAGAAACTGTTGCAAGATTCGGTGACAAACAATATGCACTCTAGAATCCATAAATCTTGGATAGCAATTAACGTTTCATATGATTAACAGATTACCTTAAACTGTCTAACAACGAACACTACCCAAAACCATAGAAACCCCGTCAGGTTTTGCATCAATATCAGTCGCGACAATTTTATTATCTTTGACAACATTCTTGATAATCTTAAATAAAATTATATGAGACTTTTTTAAACAAATTTGAAACAAAAGAAAGAAAACAAAAGATACGCAAGGTGGAAGACGTGGACAATGRTAAAAGTACTGATTAGTTTTGAAAAAAGAACTTTAATTAGTTAATAGTTGCATAAAAACATTACGTAATGTTTCGCGTAGAATCCTGATTTTAGATTTTTTTGAAGCGTACAAAAATATATTTGGAAGAAAGAGAGAAAGATAGGTATAGAAAACGTGAAAATGGACAATAGTGCTGATTACTTGTGATTTAAAAAACTGTATTAGGATTTATTTAGTCTAGTGAATAAAAACTTAATTTAAATTAAGTTTTTCGCGTAGAATCTTCGTAATCTTAAATTTTAAAAAAGCCCTTTCAAAAAATATTTGAAAGAAATAAAGATAGATAGATAGACAGCGTGGAAATGGACAATGGGGCTGATTAGTTGTGATTAAAAAAGCTGTATTAGAATATATTTAGTCTAGTGAATAAAAACTTACGTAATTTTTCGCGTAGGATCTTGAGCATTTCTTGATAGTAATGTATACTTGTTTCCAAGTCGCCAAGCACATGATACAAGTTCCCCAAACTAGCACAAGCTTTTCCAATACCATTCGTGTCTTTGAGTTCATGTGATAGGGCAAGTCTTTTGTGATGGCAGTCCAGAGCTTCGTTTAAATTTCCCTCTAGTTCATAGATATTAGCAAGATTGTTGTACGTTCTTGCTAGAACGCGCTTATTTCCAGACTCAATACCGATTGTCAGTGCAATTTCAAACTCTTCTTTTGCTTGAAGAGAATCCCCACATGCTTTATTGATGCATCCTAAATTACAATGCGCTCTTGCTTTTCCCTTTTCGTCTTCTAATTCCGTAGCAAGGGCCAGGTATTTTTCTTGATACTGCCTTGCTAAATCAAAGTTTCCTATTTTAAAATACGCCAGACCTAAACAACTCAAAACATTGGCTTCATCTGGTTTAACTTCAGATTCAGAGGCATCTATTAAAAGATCTTTGAGTTCTCTTATCTTTTCGGCGATTTCAGTTTCATCTTCTTTAACCAAGCGAAATTGTTTAGGATCATTTTCGTCGTCCATGTTTCACACGATAAGCTTTTTTTATATATCTCAGAATAAAAAATCCATGAGAAATCACTAAGAAACTCGCAATGTATCAAAGAATGTTGTTTAGGTTTCTGAAGACCAATCACTGACAAGTGTACTCCGTTCAACGCGGGTTCTTCAGCGGGTAAAAAAAAAATTGCACAAACCAAAACTATAAGCTTAAAAATATTTGTGGGTTGAAATTTTCTTTCCTGTTTTGTGTGGTTCAACTTCTCACACAAAAACAATTAATGTTGGGTCTTTTTGTCTCGACTTTGAAAGCATGGGCGATTTTTGTTTTAAGTGAGAGACCAATATYCACAACAATTTCATAACTCAGTATTTCAAGACCTTAAAAATCTTGTGATTTGAAGTTACGGCTATTATCCTACTAAATGTCAGTTCAAGCTGGATATTTCACAAAAGGCTTCTGGTTGACTGCTTTTTTGTGTCCAAAAGGATAAAGTTTTCTGCGGTTTTGTTTACATTTATGACGGAATCCTGAAACAGGTGCGTGGTCAGGCGAAGTAAACAGCCGTCAATAAGATATTCAAATGTRCGGTCCCCCGCCCCCTCCCCCTACGCACACAAATGGATTCACTTTGAAATTCTAGAGAAGTGCATCCTGGCTAAAGAAGAAGAAATCGCTATTAAGTATCAATATCTGAAACGAAATATCTATTCCACTGGAAGACGTTAGTGCTATCGTATAAACTTTATATTATGCGAAGCGGCATTTTTCGTGTTTGCCGCGCTCGGCCTTCGCGGAAAATCAAAGCTAGTTTCCATCAACACAGTGTTCTTCAATYGCTGTCACCAGAGGCACCCTCTCTTCAAATCATTTCTTTTTAAGAACACGAGAAAAATTTTGGCAAACGGGCACCACGTGTTCGTGTTGCTCGATCTTCCGAAAATCGAAGTTAGTTGCCATCAACACATTGTCTTCAATCGCTTTAACCAGAGACACTTTCTCTTCAAATCATTTTTTTAAGAACACGAGAAAAATTTTGACAATCAAGACGAAATTAAGTCGAAAATTTTATTTTCCCATTTCACTTATTGTACATGCTTTTATACGCGAACGTACAAATGAAAAAGAAAATATCAAATAACTAATTGTGAAGAAAAACTCTGGCGAGAAAAGACACGTAGTCGTATTTTCTCTCAAATATCGATATCCTAATCCTAGGTATCTAAGGGRAAAACTGGCTTAGATAGCAATGAATACGTAATAATCGCGATCGCTAGACCGAATTTGTGTGGAAAATGAAGATCGTGAATAATTTCGAATAAATGGGTAAAACATATAATCGTGTTAAGTAAAGAAATAAAATGAGGATATGAAATTCGAAGCAAGGAAAAAAGATCGTAATGAGTAGAAAAATGAATTAACAAAAGAGTAAATTATCGTCTAATAATGCAATATAATGAGACAAACGGTTCATTTTCATCTCAGCCATGTGTGGTTCACTTTTGCTTCAAAGTGAATACAGCGGGGGTTTTAGAAGTAGGAGTATTAAGAACATTATATTTTCAATGATAACAAAAACTAGTTAAATCGTATTCTGTGTCTGTGATAAGTGGTGGACGATAATTATAGACTTTAAACGGAAATCGTCTTCTCGATTTTAAAAGACAGTCGCTATACTTAGAATATGCATACATAATCATGAACTTGGCAAAAAATAAATTCAACTCGAGTAAACCCCTGCTGGGAAATTTTGACAATACTGAAAAATAAATTTTYTTGATAGGAATTCCACTTAAAAATTATTCGCAGAGCCCGAGATGAATAATTGTCTTAGTATAATTTTWGATTTGAATGTCGGAGAAAAGACGAAATTCAGGATTAAAAGAAAACCTTTTAGTATTTATACTTCCGATCTGGTAAACTTTGGGAAACCTCATAATAACCGCTCGAGAAGTGGTTATCGTCTCAGAATCACCGGTCGCTCGACCAATCACAGCGCGCGAAACTCTATATTATTCAAGTCTAAAATTATGATACTTATCATTTATCTGGCAGAGCATGTTAAAAATCACGCATGCGCGCCGGTATGTCTCGTTATTTTGAAATACGCCGGAGATCGTGTCAAGTCAAATATAGAATATCTTTATCTTWAAAATGATTTTCCCGGAGGTTTTGTCGAAAACGATTTATGGAAAACACATTTGAATTTAAAATAGACTTTAGATTATGATATAATATTTCAAAAAAGATATTTTTGTCTTGGCTTTGRACTTTTTCCGTAATAAGGAAATATTTAAAATATTAAATTTATTATGATAAATTTTCATCTTTTATATTAGGTAGATATTGTAAGTGGCGAAAAAAGAGTTTATGTCTCCTCGTTCGCTTAGAGGAAAGAAACCATTGATAATGTTTTGTGCACAAAATATCAACTTCAAGTGTGGTTTTTGTTGATGAGGAATAAAAACTTGGAGAAGATTAGACCTTCAAGTAACAAGAGAGATTATAACATCAAATAAACTTAACTCACATGTAAATGTGTAACGCCATGCCGTTGGTAACGAGGACCCAGTGTGGATTTTTAATCCACCAATGCCACCCTGCTGAAAATGAAAGAAAAACAATAAGAAAGAAAGAAAAAACGAAAGAAAAGATAATAATAATAAAAGCAAGAGCGGGAAAAAAGAAAGGTAATGAGAGAAGAGAAGAGACGGACGGACGGATGGACGGATGGATGGATGGATGGATGGATGGATGGATGGATGAATCGTGATCTCAGAAACACGCTCACTCTCTCAAGAGCGAGAAAAAGGAAAGGTGGAATGAGACAAGAGAAGACGGACGGACGGATGGATGGATGAATAAATCGTGATCTCAGAAACTCTCTTTCTTCTACCCTATATCACTTAAGCAATTCCAGTTCCTCTTCTAATCAACCAACACCGCTAATCTCCGGATATGGGTATTCCTGGCTGGACACCAACATTTCTGGAAATAAATAGAAAGAAAAACTTAATTAACTAGAGCTTTTACCAATCCAAGTGCAAATATAATTTGACCCGGACCAAAAAAAGAATGAATTGAACGGCAAACAGCGTTATATGTTGTCATTGAATACAATCACTATGAATAAGTCTGCAGTTGACTATTGGGCAGCAGACATTARGTGCAAGTTATAACAATAACTTAATTTCTTGGGTATCATATATATTGGTCTCGATGCCYTAAAAGAGGCAACAGTGGGTCGTGTTGTGATAAGTTTTGAGGTTACGGTGCTACCAACGACATAGGAATAGGCCTTATTCGTGGTGTGACAATTCAGCGTGACAAACCTCCAGAGGATTCATTTTCTTTTGTTTTTAYTCTTCGAAAAATTCACGAGTATCCCAAAGGATACGAAAGDAATAACGATGATATCCCGACGAGTTTCAAAACAATAGCTGTTCATTCCCTTAGAGGTTTGTCACGTTCAATTCTTAAAGTGTCCAGATGAATATATACGAATACTTTTTTTTCGTAGCCTACTTTACGAGGAATGAGCAATAATCAAGATTGTGTGATAACGCAAATCAAGCTGATTCTCAAACTGCTTAGATCAATACAAATACATTTTGTTTTTCATGTAGGCTACTCTATGAGAAATGAGCAATAATCAAGAATGTGTCAATAATGCAAATCATCAACACTTTTTGGACTTCATATAATTGCCGATTACGTTAAATTGGTTTGCYTTCCTGAAATAATGTAATTATCTTCCTCTTTCAATAAGATTGTACCKTATTCATGTTGACACAATGAAGTTCATTTTAATTTATAAGAGCATACRATGTCGACATATTGAGTACAAAATAATCTTATTATGCTTAAATATGACACAAATGAAGAGCTGTTAGGACGCTTAAAACTGAAAGATGCTCCTTCCGTTGCAACTCATGGATGGATGGAACAATGGATGGATGGTTGGATGGGTGTCTGGGTGTGGATGGATGGGTGGGTGGTTGCATAGGGGGTGGGTGGGTGCATGGAGGGTGCATGGATGGGTGAAAGGATGGATGGATGGATGGGAAGGTGTAGGAATGTATGATGGATTAATGGATGAATATAAACTATTAAGGTTCCCGTTCCGTTGCAACTCATGGATGGATGGATGGATGGGTGAATGGATTGATGGGTGGGTGTGGATGGGTGGATGGATGGGTGAATCGGTTTGGATGGATGGGTGTGGATAGGTGGGTGTAGGGATGGGTTGTAGGGATGGGTTGATGGAATAATGGATGAATATAAACTATTGATTGCATAACAAAGTTCAAATAAAAGCATAGCCAAATTAAAGTTACATGTCGCTGTTAAAGTAAATTAAATAGCTTACTGTGATAGGAAGCAATGAGATATAGAAACTTGACTCAAATAGCCATAAATAAGCAGAAAAATGTATTTAATAGGGGAGAATGCATAACACATTAGCAGGATTAGTAAGCTAAGCCACAGGTAGCCCAATCGCACTGGCTGGTAGGTTCCTAATCTATAATTTCCAGCYATAAAACAAACTTTTCTGATATCCTTGATTCAAAATTAAGTGAGACTTACCTTTTATTAGGTCSTTAGCTTTATGTGTTTCATCTTAACTTCTTCGGACTTCTTCGTAGAAACGTTGAGTGAATCACATAATCTTGTGAAGTGTAGAAGAAACCCCGATGCAAAAAGTATCTCAAATCATAGAATTTTCATGGAAATTTATACTGAACTGCTTGAAGAGATAACTAAAGTTGCTTTTGAATAATTGAGGAAATATTAGGCTATATTTTTGAGCTAAAGAAARCCGTTAAGTTCGAAATATCGACCTTTGAATTCTGCAGTTTGTTCAGCATATGATAAACATGGCGACCAGACGAACTGAGCATGCGTAGTTTTACCAGACGCGTATTATTTTCCCGCCAAAATATACAAAAATATACCTAAAGCAAAAACAAGCAAATGACCAAGATATATGAATAACAAACAAAAAATACGGAAATAAGAATAAATAAAAAAGAGAATAACAAAATCATGAAGACTCAAAGTTATAATAAATAATAAACAAAAATAAGAAACTCAAACAGGAAAAGAAAATTTTGTCAGTTGACTGCGATGAACTCCCGGCTTCGTGATCTTTAATTTTTCGTTTCACTGACATTATTCACCTTACATCATTTCAGCAGCATTTTCAGCTTTATTATTTTAATAGAAAAAGAGAAAATAATATTATAGTATTTCTCTCACACTCACAAATAAAGTATACAGATAATTTTCATCGTGAACATATAGATGTAAATTATAAAATAATTGGGATAGTACTCGCGCTACGATTGGTCGAAAACCATTTTTGATGAGGGTATCAAAACACGCTCGCGTCATTCTTTACAAATACATCAGAATACGATATTTTTTCGTTTTTTTGGCGTGTTTGTTATCTTATAAATTGATCTGCTAAATCATTGTCATCAAGAGAATCCAATTCATAATTAAAGCTAACATATCAGAATTAAATTAGATCACCTATAGTATTTTTGAATCAAAATTTGTTTCAATATATTTGAATATCATATTTTCGAAATAAAAAATCATATATGAACTCGTTAATGGTTGATAAAGAGCTTTCGAAATTTCAAATCATATTAGCTTACGTAAAAACCTAAACCTTAATGTATACCAATCAATTAACTATAACCAYAATTCTACAGGTGTAAATGTTTTAAGTCGCGCCTGCTCCAGTGGGGGTAAACCGCTGAAGAAGGTTGAACCAGTTAACTTTTCGATGTCTCTAACYGTAGCCGAGTTGTCCAGCAAGTATTCTTTAAAATTCTGAAACTGTTAAAATGCAGAAAAATTAGTAAATATACATAAAAAGTGAAAAGCAGACAGACAGACAGGCAGACAAACAGACATAAAACTGAGACCAAAGTGTCTAACATACCCAACAGTGGCCTTTGTCGTTGTGTGGTAAAAYAAAAGACATGACATCGAGGCGACCATCACATCCGGGAACTTCATAATACGGGGTTTTAGTTTCGTCACATCGCACGATTATCTTGTAAAAATGCGTTGGTATTGCAACCGTGTTTACTTGGTTTTTAATCCACCTGGATAAATCAATATTTGCTTATTCACATGTTACGATTTCCTATTCCATTTAATACCATTTTTCCTAATATCTCACCTACTGACAGATTTATCTTCGTCACGCAATCCATCAGCATTTTTATCGAAAATAGAACCGGAAATGACGTAAACAGTAGTAAAATTTATCGCCAGATCACGAACATAATCTTCAAGATTTGCCCAATCACCTACAGGAGAAATCACAATATCTCACTAAGCCAAGAAGTCCCAGCTTAGCCTGCGTTGCATGGTGGTCTGCGGTGTTTTCCCTCCCCATCTCCCTCTCCTCTGAAACAAAAACTGCAAAAACAACAACAACAAAAAAACAGGGCAGACCGCCAAGCAATGCAGATGACCAGCTAGGCAATCGAATAAGTCACAAGAATACGGTCATACATACCTCTATTAAAGATATAGTACTGTGGCACTATGTTGCTTAGAATAAACGTGTTCAATGCAGCGGTTGCATTGTAATCAAAGTCGGCATTCGGTACCAGGTGACCTCGRTCCATTCCTGACTTATAAAAATGAGTGCACGTAGAAGTCTGGTTATAAGTTAGACGGACATCATGTCTGAAGCAATTCTGTCGTGGAATTCTTTGACCTGCTTTCTGCAGCCAAAAGAAAAAAAAATCAGTATCCTATCAAGAAAACTCATTGACAGGTGCTAATCTAAATCTTATTTCACAATCCACGCAGAGGGACACTCTCAGGTAGGGTCAACAAGGTCTATTGCGTCCTTACCTCCCCATCCAATCTGTACCCCACCCAGAGGGGCACTCTCAGGTAGGTACTAAATCCATTGATGTATTCCTTTTGGTTCAGGATACAGCCTCCTTCACCAGCACCTCCTTGAGGAAGTCCCCATGGTAAGTTATGTCTCTGATATTGGGAAACTGAAAGAAATAAATTTAAAAATATTAATAACATATTGAAATACTATACAATGGGCAAAAACAACCATTGGGTTTTTCTAACAAATAAGCCAGATTACGTACCCTGCTTGCTCGTAAGATCTAACAAATCATCTAACTCTTCGACTTTGAGCTTAGAAGAATCCCTTTTCAACTGTTAAAAAAAGAAAACGAAGTAAAATTGTCTTCCAATTCTAAATCTATTTGGATACCACAAGCTTCGAAATTCAGAAGAAGACTGGTAAATAAATCTTGGTCCATGAAATTGGAGGATTAGCACCCGCTCACATGGACCAAAAGGACCTTTGAGTGTTAATGCATAGAATTCAATATGGTCCTTTTTGTCCATGTAAACGAGTGCTAACCAAATCGAAGAGGGAGAGAGGGGCTTGATTTAGGGACGCAGTATGGAAAAGCTTTGATCTCATTCCCAAAATCAGGCCCAGAATCCTATGCAACCATCCCAAGGCAATATCAGTCTTTCTTTGAGACTTGTCGAATAAGCGCTTACGTCACAGTAGGGGCACACGCAGTATCTGCAGTCTCTGCGCTCAGCGGCAACATTCTTTCCAGGATATTTACAGGTTTCTTGATCAAACAGTTTGCCGTCTCCTTGGAGAATGGGCTTTGGAGCATCAACAGTAGAGCTAAGTAAGTGTTGCAGACTACCCGGCATTCCATCGTTGGGTGCCGGAGTAATATCAAGGAGGCCTGAAACGAGTCATTTTCAAACATCGATCTAGGCATTAATGGGATTTTACTGTTATTCATTTAGAAGCAGGCAGGACATTCTCGCKCATTTTGTCGACAGATAGACTTTTTCTGATATAGCGAACATGGAGCATTCTGGTCTAGCTTACGAACATCTTTAGTTCATCATGCCTTATATGGTGTTATTTGTACCCAAGCTAGATCACAATGCATCCTGCTTTTCGAACATGCGCATTGGCTAATGCTTACTCCGTGTACGCGTATGGAACCGAACACTTAAATGTACACAGTAAACAACTGCAGTTTTTTTAGGCACCGTTTATCACACACTCTATCGCTAGGACTAATTCTTTTTGTTTTGTTTTGCTTTGTTTTGTTTGGTTGTTGTTGTTGTTGTTTTTTGCTTTCACTCAAGAAAGTCACTCAAGACTAAAATCTTTCCCTAGCAAAAGATACATCATTTCTTAGTTACCACAGGAAAACCAACTCGTAAGTACACTTACTTGCAATCATATTGTAAATTTCCGTATTACTAAAATGATCGACGACAACGCCCTTCTTAAACGACGGCCCGTAAGCAACAAATAAAGCCTGTAAAAAGAACAAGACCTACTTACAAATGTCATCACTGTATTATTCGCAACTCATATACGACTCGAGGACTAGAGAGAGGTTGTTCACAAAATTACGGCTCTCTCGGTCTCTCTTATAAAGCGTAAAGGAAAACGTTTGCCGATTGGTAATCGCAGGCATTGCGCGCAAATCTCTCTCTAGTCTCTAACTGATATGGCGTCATCCATAAAAACATATCCGRGATCAAAATCAAATGCGTAATTCCTTCGCGCATACCCTCATGCTCTCRGCCATCGGGTCATATCCATGGTAACCTATGTTTCTGTAACAAGGTAATGAAGAGCTGTGAATTAAAAATTGGTCGAAATAGTTAAAATATCAATATAACAATAATAATAATAATGATGATGATGATGATGATGATGATGATAATAATAAAAACCAATATCAGAGGGACGTAAAAGAACCACTGAGGACGTAAAGAAATCCTGGCAGTGACCACCTTCAGCGCCTGCACCTCATACTAACCATGCATCTCTGACATATCTGACATTYACACTCAATGTAAAGCGCCTTCTTGAATATATCTATATAGAAAGCGCGCTCTATAGATCATAAATCATTGTTATCATTAAAAATAACTGGATATGCATTTTAGCGGAAAAGTCGATATCATAAGACAAAACTGTTGTATTTTTTACTGCGTAATTGTTATTCAGGAAAAGAGAAAAGTTTGCGCTTACTTTGTACCCACTAACCAGCCATCTTCCGATATCACTATGATGTCTCCAATACGACTACAAAATAGAAAACACAAAGATCATTTACTCTTACAGAACTCATAGGTAATTGTTATGACGTGAGGTAAAGCCTGGTTCTTAATTGCTAGCGATGCAATTAAGCCGACGCAGAAGCCGCAGTAGCTGCAGCTTACTGTGAGAAGAAGTGAAGAAAGCACCAGCACAAGCGCAAAAAAAAAAAACACGAATTTTTGCGTCGGGTTACGTCGCTAGTGAGAATTAGGCTTTAAGCTCCCATGAGCTGCATGGATAAAAAGCTGAAGCAAAATTAATGGCTACAAGAAAAAAGCCATGAAAAGAAAGTATTTAAAAAAGTGTTACGACTGCATGATCTGCTTTGTACCTGCCTAACTGACGCGAACTTAAAAATGGCTAAAAGCAAATAAAATATTAAAATAGGGTTACGACTGCTARCGTACCTGCCGTAGGAGTAGTGCAACCTCTTAGGAAGTTCCTCTTTGGCAAATACCCGCATGTAACGAGACTTACACTATAAAATAAATCAGTAAACTTGAATTGTCTTACAGCACTTCCCAATAGCAGGCTCGGAATCGTATAATTTACTGTCAAAGTAGGATTTTGATGAACTTGTATCAAAGTGTTTCCATTCCATTGTCAAAAAACGTTTTTAAGGGCACATTCTTATTAGGAATGTTGATTGACGTCCAAGAAGACGGACATTGTCGCAACGACGATTCTACGCGTGTAAGTAAGAAGCACTTAAACGGAAAACAGACAGACAGAAAGCTTTCGAATAGAATGAATTCTTACCTGAATGCGCGAAAGAATTTCGGTTTTATTTACTGTTAAATAAAATAAGAATTTAAAAATGTAAGAGAAAGTTAACTAGCTCGATATTTGTGCAAGGAGAAAAAAAAGRAAGTGAAAAARACGGATATTTACTTACAAGATCCACCTYGTTTTGGGCTAAGTGACATAAAGGGTCCTCCATATTTTTGTAAAGAGAAAATGTCATTTAAAGTAACATCATACTGTTGAGCAAGACGAAAAAATCCCTCAACTGCTATACGGCGTTATCTACATTTCTCATTTTAGAACGCAAATATTAAGTCCACTGAGCAAAAATAATTTGAACCTTGTGGTATTTTGAACCATGTGA